GGGACGACTTCGGACCGACTCTCACAGAGGCCTATAGCAGGTATCCACTACAGTGTCACCCATACTAGTCTGCTTTTTAGTCCTTGCCCATAAGCTCTCAGTTGCTTCATCCGTCTGCAGGAGCTCCATGCATACCACCTGCTGTCTCACATAAAGGCTAACTCTCCCTCCTTGTATTCCTGGCATGTCTTTCCTCAAGATCTTGTATCCATCCATTGCAACTTTACAGTCATTAGAGTCATCCCACCATGTCTCCATGATCCTGACAAGATAATAGGCTTGCAACTGCACACTGCTCTCTTAACTTCCCGTGTTTACGTCCCATGGTGTGTACATTAGTGTACTTCAGAGAGGGACCCCAGCATACTGATTTCCTGGAAAGAGTTTTGGTAATTTCTTTCTAGTTGTACCCTATAGACACTTCCTTTCTGACATGTAAATGCTAGATGTGACCCTGCTAAAATGCTATTCTATTGATTTTATTTTTTTTTTTTTTAAATTTAAATCCTTTCATGTGACATCACTCCTGTCCATCACTCCCTCACAGGGCTGCTGGCAACTCCCTCCGTCCCCCTTTATTCCTAGCTAAAAGCTCTCCTTAACAGGTCAGCCATCCTTCTGGCAAAGATATAGTTGCCCTACTTAATGAGTTGGATCTTATCTCTCCTAGGCAGACTGATCTGCAAACAGGGTCCTGTGGTCATAGAACCCCAAAACCTGTGGCCAACACCAGCTCCAAGGCCAATTATTGACCTGTACTGTCCGTGTCCTCCTCTTGCACCCCTAACCCTCACTGATGGGATTGAAGAGGACACCACCTGGGCCTCCATGAGCTTGATTACTACCCACAGAGCTCTGTAGTCACTTTTGATGCACTCCAGATTGCCCCTGGCAGTATCATCGGTACCCACATGGAACAACAATAAGGGGTAATAGAGAGCTGGACAAGCTTTGACAGTTCCTCTACAACATTGCAGTTCTGGGACCCTGGCAGGCAGCAAACGTCTTTAGATCATGGGTCACGTCTTTGAGCTAGTTGTTTCAGACAGCTGTTGATTAAGATTCCAAGATTTATTTCCTGAATTGCAGTTTCCAGCTCTTGAGCTCATAATCATAGGAGCATGGTTTGAGATAACTATAAGGTAGTAGATGTTAGGGGAAAAAATGTGTATCTTATGGACTATAAAAATTGATGTCTTGCAGACTGCAGGAAGTTGCTTGTGAAATTCAGGCTACATTCATAGGAATGTGGGCAATTCCATGAACTGTTGATTTTTAAACAAATATGTTTTCATGGTTGAAATGTCAAAAGAGTTTATCAATCTTAAGGTCACTCATTGGTAACTGGCAAATTTACAAAGTATGCACTTAATTTTTTTCATAAGGTTGCATTTCACAGGAAAATTACAGCTCCTCAAAATCAAATTGTAGAAAAGCCAGAAGGTATGGTATTAAGCTAACTTCAGTGTAACCCTTAAACCCTTCAAGATAGCTATACAGAATGCAAATATCTACAAGTATTGCACTTGTATTGTCCAGAGGTAGAAGCAACCCTGGTGGAACAGTGACGTGACAAGAAGATCTTGTACAGGCTGTAGATATCTAGTGTATGGACATTATAGGCCAAACTGAGGCTTTGCTAGTTCTAGGATTACAGTGGCTTGTATTCCCATCTAACATTACTTCTCTTTGTATCTTAAGCTAAAGGCCTCTGGTGGGTTGACCCTGGCTGGCTGCCAGACCCTAACCCAGCCCAGGTCAACAGACTGCAGTCCTTTTTAGCACCCAGCCTGGGGCTTGAGGAATGAGAGATAAGGACAGTAATCGAGAGTAGTAGTAGCCAAAACTTGGATTGGATATTGCCAGAGTGAAATAACTCTGGGGTTTCTTTTGTTGTTGTAATAAGGTGAAGGGACAAGGCGTGGAGTTTTACTGTGTGTGTAAAATTTCCACTTTTTCAGTGTTATATCATTTTGATTTTGGTGAGGGAGCTTTTTTTTGGTAGACGTAAGTGAAGTTTGTGAAGAGTGTGTGATGAATGTATATTTTTGTCAACTCTTCTGAAATATATGCTTCACAAAGATGAGGGTGGAATGTACTGGGTGCAGGCGCCCAGGTGCTGGCAGCAGGGGACTCCAGTGGTGGTCTCTGTGAGGAGAGGCCAGCGCTGCCATGTGCTGCACACAGCTGTTCCAACCAGCTCCAGAACAGACCTACCACAGGATACAGCTGAGCCCTCCATCAGCAAGGGTGGTGGCACCTCTGGGAGAATGTGTTTCATGAAGGGAGAAAACGCTGCATGGCAGTGAGGTGTAATGTAAAAAATGTAGGAGAAACAACCCTGTGAACACCAAGGTCATTGAAGAGGGAAGGAGAGAAGATTCTTCAGACATTGGAGCAGGTGAGGGAGACCGCCGTGGAGCAAGTATTTCCATGCAGCCTGTGGAGGACCCCATGCCAGAGCTGGTAGATATTTTCAGAAGGAACTGTGTCCTGATGTGGAGGGGTCCATACTGCAGGAGTTCCTGAAGGACTGTAGCTTGTGGAAGAGACCCTGTGCTGGAGCAGGCAAAAAGTGTGAGGAGGAAGGAGTGATGGAGAGGAACCATTACAGACTGATCGCAACCCTTATATCCCTGCACCACTGCGGGTAGGGGGACATAGAAGAGTTGGGAACAAAGCAGTGAAGTTGAAATGGGCTAAAACAGGGGTGGGGAGGTGTTTAGTTTTGACTTTTTTTCTCAGTATCCAACTCTGTTTAAATTGACAGTAAATTAATTTAATGTTCCCCAAATTGAATTTGTTTTGTCTGTGATGGTAAGTGATCTCCCTGTCTTTATCCTGACCCATGAGCTTTTAATCTTTTTTCTTCCCCTGTCCTGTTGAGGAGGGAGAGTGAGAAAGCAGCTGGGTGGGGGTTTGGCAGCCAGCCAAGGCCAACCAGGCCAACCCATCACAAGGTCTTGACTTCTTGAGACAGGTATTTGTTTCAGATGTCTGTATTTTTGTAAAGTTTCCTAGCAGGACAGAAACCAGCTTACCACTGGAAAGTTTTAACTCTTGTGTTGTTCATGTAGTAAATGACTCCTGTAGGCTATTTTTGTGGAAGTGAAAGGTTTGTTAAGAAAGTTTGTCAGCTGTACAATTAAATTCCAACGTGGGGTTAGAACTAAACTAAAGTTTAGTTTAAGTTTTTTTTTAAACTATAGTGCCAGTAAAAAGCTTGTCCAAATGATAGTTCATGTTCATAAAGTTTGCCTTGTTTCCTAAAAGCAGACCAGAGCATTGCAAAAAAAAAAAAAAAAAAAAAAAGAAACTTGGATATGGTAACTTTGATCTAAACCCACATTAGAATATTCTCTTTGAAGCTATCTAAATTTCATGCGAACTTGCTAAAGTAACTCTACAGTTACTTTATTTGCCTATAACCTTATTTGGATTGACAAGTAAAATATATCCTTCTTTGTAGAATTAGTGTACTAGGCAACAGTAAATATATAAGAAGCTTTGTTATAGCAATTGGCTATAGTTCTGAATATTCTTCCGTAGTAGTTTTTCAGTTCCCTTTTGTGAGTTTGGCTTTTACCTCAATCTCTCATGTTGTCATCCCTTCTTACTGCTTGCTTAGTTTGTCCTCTTCCGTCTTCTGCATTCTCCTGTTCAGTGAGTTGTGCTATTCTGTATAATCCTCTCTCTACACTCCTACCCCAATGCCATTGTGAGCTGTCATAATTTTGTGACTCAAGGCTCTTATTCCTATTGTTTGTCTAATCAATTTCAGTTTCCTCAGAACAGGGCATACCAAATACATCTCTTCCTGCCAGCTGTGTCTTGGGTGTCCTAGTGTAACTTGAAACTTGCTCTTATTTGTCAGTTTTCTGTTCATTTGACACTTCATCTCTCCCTGTGTAATGAAGAAGCTGATCAATTTTTTGATGAAAGGAGCTTTGGTTTTTAAAAGTAGAAGTTTTTTTGTGAATCACAGAATCATAGAATGGTTGGGTTGGAAGGGACCTTAGAGATCACCTATTTCAACCCCCCCTGCCATGGGCAGAGACACCTTCCACTAGACCAGGTTGCTCAATGCCTCATCCAACCTGGCCTTGAATACTTCCAGGGATGGGGCATCCACAGCTTCTCTGGGCAACCTATTCCAGTGCCTCACCACCCTCGTAGTGAAAATTTTTGTCCTGATATCTAATCTAAATCTCCCGTGTTCCAATTTAAAGCCATTGCCCCTTGTCCTGTTGCTACATGGTCTTGTAAAAAGTCCCTCCCCAGCTTTCTTGTAGGCCCCCTTTAGGTACTGGAAGGTCACTATGAAGTCTTCCCAGAGCCTTCTCTTCTCCAGGCTGAACAACCCCAGCTCTCTCACCCTGTCCTCATAGGAGGGGTGCTCCAGCCTGCTGATCATCTTCATTGCCTCCTCTGGACCCACTCCAACAGGTCCCTGGCTCTCAGGGGCCCCAGACTTGAAGACAGTACTGCGG